AGCTATAAAAGGCCCCGAAATAACAAATGTAAAACAATTCAAACGAGAAAACCAATGGCCTGATTTATGTACAAAACAATGAAAGAAAAACAAGTATGATAAACAGCAACAAACGATAACCACGGAACTACAAGCTGCTGACTTGGGACAAGCACATACAGAATGTTTGCGGGTGCACAATCCTGCCCATAACCTGGGACAGTATTGTAACAACACAACATATGAGAAAAACTGTAAAAATCAGTTGAAAAGGACTTAACTCATCAGATCAATACAAATCAGAAAAACAAGTAACAAAACACAGACCAGACATAGCAATGTATTTATACATACACCCCACAACAAAACAAAAGTACAGACCTGAGAGTACTCGTAGTTACTGACAGCTCGTCAAAGCCAACATTTATATATAATGGAAATATATACCTACTTCAAGTAAGCGCAATATTATTATACATTCAATTAGAAATTAAGTTTACACATTATATACAATATGAGTGGTTGTTGATTAACAATTTTTTTTCTAAATTTTTTTTTTACATGTACACTAGATATTTCCTTCTCAAAAACTGGTAAACGAATTTTGAATTGAAGGGCTTTTCTTGGAGTGTAATACGCCCTGCTTGGTACTTACAAATGATCTTTTCTACATACAACATTATTTAAAATGAAATGCATTGTTTCTAGGAAATGACAGCACTGTTCATAATTTAAAACGAATAAAAAGTATCAATCTCATGAAAATTCGATATATGCAAGATATTTTATAGGGACATCAGTTACACACCACTCCGAGATGTGTATCTCCTCCACAATATGGTCAGCCATGTTCTTGTGTCAGTCAACCCTGTATTAAAACTTTCTCAGCAGGTTTGTTGTATCTATATTTTTTAAAGTTTAGTATTTAAATTAAACTTCTTTTACGTTGTACAATATACTGTAAACCAACTCATAAGCTCGAGCTATTTTTTTTTTCTTGCGACTTTCGAAAGGAGAAAAATTTCGTGAATATAAAAAGTCGCGAATAGGTAAAACTTGGATCTTTCCTTATTTAACTTATATCAAGTATATTTGAAAATCGCGATATTCAATCGCCGCTAAGTGGTCTTGGAACTGCCAAACGTGAAATAGAATATTCGCGAAAATAAGCTGGTTTACAGTATTACCAGGCACAAGTTTACGACCAGTTTCTAGCAACCATTCAAGGAATAAAACCACTTGTTCATAGTCATATTGCTTTCTGTGTTAATTTCTGTAATTTAAAGCATTAATAGTTATTTCGTTTGAAGTTTAGATAAAGTCATTTCATGTTATAATTATACCTGGTTTGTGCTGTAAAATTAACTATATTTGGAGGGTATCGTGTTACTTACTCATTTGTTTTCTATGTTGTGTTTTTTGTACTGTTGTTTGTCTTTTTTGTCTTTTTCTTTTTTTTTTTGCCATGTCGTTGTCAGTTTGTTTTCGACTTCTTATTTTGAATGTCCATTTGGTATCTTTCGCCTTTTTCTTTTTAAAGCGCACTTGTTTCCCGGAAACTTTGTAGTACAAAACAAGGTACTGCTGAGCTAGGCAACAGGAAAAATATTTAATTTCATATATTTTGTTGTTTTTTTATTATTCAACAGAAACTTTCAACAAGGATCTACAATGATGACACGCTTCAATTTTATACCAAAAACTACCCAACTATTAAGCTTATTCATAAAGTTACAGTTAGTTTAAGAACAGTTTTGCCCACAAAATGAGCAAAGATGTCTGTCCTTATACAGGTTAACAATGACATGTATGAAAATATGTGCTGTTGATACCTCACATGGTTTTTGGCGCTACCTTAAAAAACAAAGACTATTACCCAATACGATTTTACGAAATCCAATAGAATAAAGCTATAATCCAAAAGGATATCACAAGTATCCTCCGGGATTTGTTTCTTTTTTAGGATTAACAAATCCTAAGCGATATTTGTTCTCCATAACATTTTGTAGGATATATATCTTTACTGATAAAATAAATGCAAATCTTTATGCAAATTCCAGGCAGCAGTTCACAAGATTATATTTGTGTTTTGTCCTAAATACGGTGTTTTGAAGCGTAATTCAACATAAGTATATTTGAAATAACAAATTTACATTTTAAAGTAACAATGCTTGCCGTATAATTTGAAGATGGATTGTCGGTTAAAAGCTTGTTCAAAGAATAAAACAGATTCCTATCACATAATTGCTGATATCTTACCTTACTGTACAGCAATCAAGCAATTTTATTTACTTTCTAAGCTTGATGTATGATGTAGTAGAGAATTGATAAGAAGTAGTGGATTCGGAAACGATAATCAACGAGCGACGTCAGTCGCGAGTTGATTATCGATTCCGAATCCACTACTTCTTATCAATTCTCTTACTTAAACCATTGCTATGGATTCTTTGTACAATTCTTTTTTAGGATGAGGAACAGTATCCTCCCCCTACGATTATTTCAACATTTTTTACTCGGAACCTAGTAAAACGTATCCCTTACGAATCACATATTCTCAATCAATTTTTCACATAAAGTGATTAAATATTCACTATTCGAACTGATTTGTTTCCTTTCATGGATGGATTATTTCAAAGCTGAAAATAAAAATCTGTTCACAAAATAATTTTATGGTCTGAATTAAAAAAAATACGAATTTCTAGAACAGAATATTAACCATATTTATTTTATTGAAGATACAAATAATAAGCATATATCAAAAATATATTTAAAAACGATGCTATATTCATCACTATGTAATAATATATTCATCACTATGTAAAGATAATTGGAATTAAAAAGTTTTGAACTCACCCCTTAAAAGAAAATGTATAAATGTATAAGTTTGAGTAAAAACAGCTCATCAAAAATTGTATGACAATGGAATCGGACGATGAGGATATATTTATAACTCAATCAAAGTTTTGTGATAATTCTACGAAAAGTGATGAGGATATAAGTGGAAATTTTCTTCTTATGTATGAAGATATATCATCTGCTTCTGAAAATGAAGCCACTCTTCCCAAAAAGCCGATTTATGAAGATATATCGTCTGCGTCAGATGAAGAATTAATGTGTACTTTAGTAGATCGTGTAGACTCTGACTTACGCAGTAAGCCAGGACCATCAAGGTTAAGCAAGATTGTGTCCGACAACAAAATAGAGGAACTTTCTGTTAGGAGGTCAGTATTATATTTATTCGAAATAGTATTGTGCTATATACATTATTTTAAAATACCACCCCCCCCCTTTTTTTTGCCTTTATACAAAAAATTACAAGATTACGCTTGATAGACCCCGTTCAGTACTAAACCTGATTAGGATTGAATTTTTTGAGAAAACGAGTCCAGAGTAAGTGAAATAATATGTTTGGCATTCATTTTTGGGGGAAATTATCAAGATACTTATGTCTACAAATAAAGGAAAATGGATGAAAAAAAGTTACAGAAAGAACTCACTCGATAAGTTTCCAGTTGCATGACTGTTATGAAAATTTCAGGTTGATAAGTTTGCTAAAACAAAGTCCGTTTAAAACTGAATTTTTAACCTGTATTTTCTCTTCTTTTAACTTAACAATTACAAAGAAATATGAAAAGATATTATGGGAAAAACTTAACAAAGTACCACAAATAACTAAAAAAACAAAACATTAGATTTTGATTGTTCGATTATCGTTTCCGAATCCACTACTTCTTATAAATTCTTTACTACTTCTAACCAAGATTAATATATTGGTAACATTAACCGAGCCCAAAAGGAAATGCATGATTGTATTTAACACGAAAAAAGATTTACCCTATTCAACTTGTTATTCTAACACCGTTCCGTATAAAAAATAAGGAAATGTGGTATGATTGCCAATGAGACAACTATCTTCCAGAAATGTAATGAAGTGAATGTAAGGAAATTATGGGTAACTGTTAGACCTTTAACAATGAGAACCTATACCGTATAGTTGATTATAAAAGGGTCCGACATGAAATCCGACCCTTTCCATATTCTACATGTCAATTTTTAAACAATAATATTAGCAAGCCACGGGTCGAATCAAATAGCTTAAAAATTCGAAAACGAGAAAGTCCTTTAATTAAAAAAAATAGATATAAAAGATGGAGATGTGATACGATTCAAAAGCTACAAATTTGTCAGATTTTCTCAAAATTTTGTAAACACCTTTGGCTCCTTAAACTGTATATGAAATTACTGATTCAGAACATTTTTATTGCCTCGCCTTGACGGAGTCAAAAAGCGAGACATAGGTATGCTGTTTCCGGCGTCGGCGGCGGTGTCAACAATGTATCAGTTTGTGATTAGGTCTAGTTTATGGTGAACCACTAGTGGTAGGTCAATGATATTTGGTATGCAGTTGTATAAGCATTGGATTATCTCATTTCCATGGAGATTATTTGGCCACGCCCCCTCTGTCATGGTCTATTGACTTTTAAATTTTTGCTTAGTTTTCATGTATTAGTTTGTAATTAGATCAGTTTAAGGGGAACTGTTAGTGGTAGGTCAATGATAATTGGTATGCAGTTGTATAATCATTAGCAGATCTCATTTCCATGGAGTATATATGGTCCTTACCCCTCAGTCACGGTCTATTGACTTTGAAACTTTTGCTTAGTTTACATGTATTAGTTTGTGATTAGGTCAGTTTAAGATGAACCATTAATATTAAGTCAATGATATTTGGTATACAAGGGTATAGGTATTTGCCAGTTTCATTTCCACTGAGATTATATAACCCCACCCCATCATTATGGTTTATTGACTTTGAAACTTTTGCATAGTTTACAAGTTAATGTTTGTGTTTAGGTTTGTGTAAAGAGAACGACACATGAAAAGTCAATGGTATTTGGTATGCAGTTGTATTAGCATTGGCACATCTGATTTCCATGGATATTGTTTAGCCCTGTACCTTCAGTCATGGTTCATTGACTTTAAATATTTGCATAACTTACATGTTATTAAAGTATTGCTATTTTAATTTCAACATATCCATTATCAAAATAACAAATAGGCGAGACATATCTCTGTGTTAACAGTTTTTCTAGATTTTCGACGCTATCAATCAAATTGGTGGTTTTTTTTTAAATATTACACCATAAGGTATTGGGGAAATCTAGATTCAGAATATTTTCTTTGCCATCTGCTAGACCAAAGTATTTTTTTCATCAAATTGGGGACCAGAATATTTTTTTTTTAGAAAAAAAAAACATACCCCCTTTTTGAAGTTCATTAGGCATCCGTTGTAAACATTAAAATCTAGGTCGTTGATTTTAAAAGTTTTGGGCTGATATGTATAAAACCACTCAAGTTAACATATCCAATCGTAGTAATAATTTATCTTATGACATGCCAAAAAAATCCGTTCGTTCGGGATAAATCTAAACTTAAGTAGTTTTATGCATATCAGCCCTGGTCAATAAGTCAAAGCAAGTAAAGTAAAGTAAAGTAAAAGTAATCTTGTTTAAATTCGGGTTGCATATATACATAATAACAAGGAACATGAGCTCTTAACTGCTTAAGTTTAGTCATATTTTTTTTTTTCGATAGATCGTTCGAATAAACTTTTGAAATAAAATATGATGATTATTATATTTAAACGATTAATCGTTTAATATGAAAAATCGTACTCACCAATGTAGTCCACGTTAAAGTATCATAATATACACTTGTTTAGAATTTTGGAACATCGTAGGTGTGTTCGAATAATAAGTATCACTTTAAATGTACCTAGTATTATACCCGACAAAAAAGAAATGCACCACCCTTCAAATTGAAATTCGAATATAAAATGTATAATATGAAATGTATAATAATAAAAATATCTGATAAGATAAATATGTCACCATCAAAATATTTTATTTTCAGTTTAGCTGAGAGTACTAAAAAGAAAATTAAGTGGGCATATAACCTTTTCAACACATGGAAAACACAAAGAAATGCCATAGCCGTAGCTGATCTCAGTCTTAATATAAGTATTATTTCACCAGATCTAGAAGTGATGACAAAGGATGAATTGTGTTTTGCTCTTTCTAGGTTCATCTGTGAGATCAAAAAAGAAAACGGAGAAGAATATCCCGGTCAAACCCTTTACGAAATTTTAATAAACATACAGTTATATTTAGAGGGAAAGGGGAAATATTTCAAATTTCTAAACGAAGATTGTTTTATCCAAATAAAGAATACACTCGATCACACTATGAAAGAACGAGCGAGTTCTGGTTTAGGAACTCACAAGAAAAAAGCACAGGAAATTACTTACGACGAAGAAAACATGCTATGGGAGAAAGGAATTCTAGGAAATACTACTCCGCAAAAGCTCCTTGATACGACTATTTATTTATTTGGTTTAAATTTTGCTCTTCGTGCTGGAAAGGAGCATCGAGATCTAAGATGGGAAAACAGTCAAATATCAGAGCACACGGATACAAATGGTGACTCCTACCTTGTATACAGAGAGGATGTTTCCAAGTCAAACCAAGGCGGACTGAAATCGCGGAAGTGCAAGCAAAAAGTGGTTTTTGCTTATGAGAACAAAGACAATCCTGACAGATGTATTGTAAAATTTTATAGAGACTACATATCTCATTGGTAGGTTTCCTTTAGCGACAAAGATTAAATTGCCAGTGTACTTTTTTTTATTGTCAACAATTTACCTTAAAATGCTAGCTTTTAGATTTCTTCCTACATGTTCTATTCTCAAAACAAGTAATTTTTCATGAATAAATTTTGCACAACTTGTAGCTTGAAAAAAACACAGGGACCTATATAATAAGAATAAGGAGATGTGGTATGATGCCAATGAGACAATTATCCACCAAAGTTCAAATAAAGTGGATGTAAGCAATTAGACAATCGTACAGCATTCAAGAACGAGAAAATCCTATACCGTATAGTTGGCTATTAAAGGCCCAAACATGAAAAAAAAGAAACAATTCAATTAAGAAAACTAAAGTCTTAATTTATTACAAAACAATTTTAGAAAAGAATATGACGGACATGAACCAACGACCACCACTGATCTATAGGCTCCTGATGGGATAGGCACATAAAAGTAAATAAAAAACCAAGAAAGGGGAAGGTTTAGTAAGTCCTTGGATTATACTTGAAAGATATTATAAAGTGTTTTGTATTTTTCAGCCCAGAAAAAAGACCAAAAAATGCCTTTTACTTGAAACCCATACCAAAATCGACTGGACAAGTTTGGTTTGCTACTATGCCCGTGGGTATAAATATGCTGACAGCAACAATTGCAAGGTTATGCAAAGAAGCCGGACTAAAGGGATTCAGGTCGAACCACTCGCTTCGTGCCACTGCTGCTACCAGGTTATATGAAGATGGTCAGGACGAACAGCTGATATCTGAAATAACAGGCCACAAAAGTAAGGCAGTTCGCGAATATAAAAGAACAAACACCGAAATGAAACGAAAGGCCAACCAGACGATCAACAGTAAGCCGTCAGAACAAAAGAAACCCCGTTCAGAACTACAAATAAACAGTGCACCGTCTACCTTTCAAGTGGATGGCAATAATATCAACATAACGCTTCAAGTAAACTTTGGGAATTCAAAGTAACGTGTGAAGGATTTTTATTTCAATGCTGTTTAAGACACAACTGAGTCGTGGATCAACTATCATGTGAAATAAATTTATGTACATGTACAAATATCTGATCTTTTTCATAAAGTGTCTTATGAATAAGAATATGTGGTATGAGTGCTTATGCCTTCATTGAATGTTGCTCGTGAACCGTTAAAATGTTATCAATCACATTTTTTACTACACACAATAAAATTTAGAACGGAAATGTGTCAAAGAGACAACAACCCGACCAAAGAGCAGAAAACAAGCATTTTATTCAATTGAGTTTCCAACCAAACAAATTCTGGGTGCTTTTGTTATCAGTTCTACGGAAGCGTATTAGCGCCACAAAGGTTTGCGTTAACGCAAACATAAGAAAAAAACATAAAAAAAATAAATTGTGTGGCGCTTATACGCTTCCGTACAATTCTTCTGTGTTCTGTATTGTCAACAACATTTGTTTATTGGTAAACATCAGTCATTTCTTCGCTTGTAATGTAATCTACTCACTCATCTCTTCAATTCAATGAACCATAGTGAGTAGTGTTACATTACAAATAGGTCAAAACTTCAGTGGATTCTTGAAAAATAATCAACTGTTTCTTGAATAGATGACGTCACAACAATGGTTTAAATATATATATCCATTAAGTGTGTAGAAAATATCTATATTTTTTCAACCGACTCTGTGACCTGAAGGTAGCGTGTTCGCCTCCAAAGCGGGAGCTCGAGGGTAGGGACCCCACCCAAAGCTACATCAAACCAAAACATTGAAAATTGGTATTTGCTCTTCGTCACTTATCACGCGATGTTTAGGAGAAATAGCAAAGACTAGTTGGCTTGTAGTCCAAATAATATGTACGAGAAGGGTGACATGTCTTCTTGTGAACTGTTACCTTAAATTGCAACTAACAATTATAATTCCTGGTTCACCATGTCGGTTTAGTACAAAACAGGGTTCATAATCATAACTCATCGTCCCGATATGCATGTTATATTTTCCACTGGACGTTACTCTGCAGTATTATAATTTTGAGATGACTTTGGTTGCAATGTATTAACACGCAATTATATGTGTTTTGATAATTCTCACATTTTGTAGATTTACCACCAATAACTACATTGCAACCACGAAACACAGGTATATATATATATGATTGAGGATACTCCGTTTTTTTTTAATTAAGATAAAAATATGGGTATAATATTAAAAAGGCATTTAGGGAAGGAAATAATGTAGTAAAGTTTTAATCTTTTTTTTGTCATTAAATTATTGGATGGTATTTAAAAAAAAATTCTTCTTTTGAAGGTTGAACGATGAACATTTTTTCAAATTTGTCTGCACTTGTTCTGCTGTTTTATGAAACATTATGTCAGATTTCTGTGATTATTATAATGATAAGGAGATGTGGTATGATTGCCAAGGAGATCCACCTCAGTCCAAAAGGACGACGACGTGAACAACTATAGGGTATTGTACGGCCTTCAACAATAAGCACAACCAATACCATATATTACGCTATAAAATGCTCCCGCAAGACAAAATGTAAAACAATTCAAAAGAAAAATCAATCACATGATTTATGCTAAAAACAACAAAAGAAAAACAAATACGAAAGAAACCAACACCTACCACTGCATAACAGTCTTTTGACTTGGGACTTTAATACACCATAATACACCATAAAAATTAATGGGAAGAGGCATTACTAATTATATTAGCACTAGGCAAACCATACAACCCAAACAAAAGACAAAAATCATTGTATCTTTTACGAACTGTATACACAAATTCACCCTAAGAATTATTGTTGTTCGTTTTATATTTTTTTAAAGTAAGTTCCTATATTTAAAGTCATAGTTGTTAACATTTGTTGAACAACACACATACGGTTCTAATCAATATACATGACTGTATTCAAACAGTGATTAAATACATGAAATATTTTAAAATCAAAATAATTCATTTGCACATTAGAATAAATATGTCTTGAAATGTCAACAGTTTTTTCTGGATTTGCAGGTTCTTGCAGTGATATACCAACGCGTACAAAGAATCGGTGTGCACGTTACCAGTCACAGTTACAAAAGTGTGAAAGCACTAACGCAGTTGTCAAGAGTATTGCATTTGGCGATTGTAAAACATATTGCTTATTGTGTAGATGTAAGTACTTTTTTCTTCAAATGCATTTTTCTCGTTGTCGTATAATCCATTTAGATGATTTCTTAATATATAAACTACTTTGTGCCATCTTCGCTAGCTGTTGACATTTATGTACGGTTTTATCAAGACTGTCTTGTGTCGTCTGTTATACAAAAACAATTGATTTCAGAACTCTTTTTTTATTTTGATATTGCATGGTCTTCCATGTACTCCGCTTGTTTTGACAAGAGAAAATTGAGTAAGCATTAAACTATATTAAGACCGACACATGTTTAACGTTCCAGTTCAGAGTCAGTGGCTGTCGTTTTTTAAATTCCTAATTAGGTGGACATAAGTTTATGAACACATCTTTTAAAAATCATCGGCACGTTTGTTCCAACCCTTTTCATCAATATATTATAAGCTTCTTAGTAACAAAGATTGTTTTATTTTTTTTTACAGTTATCTCTCGAATTTAGATGTAACCTCTTCTGCAAAGTTAGTGGTTGATCTTTGGTATATTTTAGTCACTGTTGAATTTTAACAAAATTAGCATATATCGGTAAAGATGCGCAATTCATTTCAGGTAGGCGATAATGGTAGCCTTATCATCAATTCATCTGCCCAAATCTTATACTTTGCTATGTATGATGGCTCGTTTCGAAACTGAGACATTTTCACATATGTGGTTAAATTTTCGGGGTACGCAGTGAATTTAATTTTTTCCCTAATTTAACACACTCCGAAAAGGCTTTAATGATGCGGCTTCTCGAGGTAAAAAATCCTTTCTTTCAATAAATAAGTTCTTTGAAAATTTTGTTCTTTGCATACATTTAATAACTCCATAGTTTTTACACCTTTATTCTATGGTCCTTTGCACTCCAAATCTCCGCAAATGCTTAAGCTCAGTCACTAGTTGAAAATTGTAATATCACTGCACAGAGATGTTTTGTTTACGCACTACTTTTGTGTTCCAATTTGAGGCACTTTTGGAATATTGACCAATATTGAAAGCCATCATTCTGATTTTACCAATATTTTTGTGTGATCTATTTTTGTATGACATTGTGAATAAATCTGTGTATTTTTGTCCATTTTTGAAAGAAAATTTTTTCAGCACTATAAAGCATTGACCCTAATATCGCTAGATTTATTAATTCTGAATACTATGTGTAAGCATAATTGATTTCTTCCAGTATACCTTCACAGGTCACAGTATGGATGAAACATCTGATGATTACCTTCAATTACAACATACAAACTCTGTTGAAGCATTGAATAACATTTTCTGATGTCTAAAAGTACTTTTTAACTGAGAAGTTATGCAAAAGTGTCGATTTTTCAAAAACCCTAATAAAATAATTGTTACCACTAATAATCTGGTATTTTCAACCTTAGAAGCCACGCTGAACTGTTGTGAACGCTGAATGCTGAATAAAAAACAACCCCTAAATACATGGATACAAAACACTTCGTTATTGGAATAAATCATTCCGTTTGGAATATCTACGACATAACAAAAGTTGACATACGAAAAGCCATTATTAAAGCCAAAATCTTATTAGGAACATTCATCCTTAACTCTGATAGAGATAAATCAAACCAGTCTCTAACATCATTATGCTAGCTATGTCGTTTATCCGATGAATATATTACTCATTTTCATCTAGACTGTCCACTTTTAGCGAAAATTCGTACAACTTATTTCGAACCGATAAAAGAGGGGTCATACAAAATACTGTTGCCAAAACATGCCCGGATTATTCAACAACAAACTGGATATGATTAGGCTGATCATAGACTGTAGAAACTTTACCCAACTTTAAACTGACACCAATATCATGGATACAATTGAAGCATCTACTAGGGAACTTTGCTACAGGCTTCACATCAAACGCTTGAAAATTCTTGAGACAATCGGAGGTTGACGGTCTAAAGCAAACACTGTAAGACCAAAAGATAAAAGCGAAAGACATTTGTTTAAGTATCGTATTCCGTGTATATATATCGTACTTTCTGCGTGTATAAGAAAGTGTATATATTAACTGGATTTTACCTTTTACCGAGTGAAAAAAAACAATTTACCGTGTATATAGATATAAACATTTTATTTGAATTTATCCTTGGTGTTCCTTATAAAGGAAGTTCATACAGGGAGAAGAAGAACGTCATAGCTATCATGTTATTTAAAGCGCAATGATGTGCAAATTTTTTAAAAACTTGTCTTTTTACATAATTCTACTTAAAAAAAAGTTTGTTTAAATGTATTTAAGTGAAGACCCTGCATCTGTGAGAAAATGACATTTGGCTTTTAAATAAACAGTATGGCATCACACATATAATGATGTCATTTAATTACGGCTGATTAAAATAATGCTAAGCACAGTTTGCAGTGTTACATTACTAACAATTGCATGCATAAAAATATAGCAATTTACACATTTCTTAAAATTGTTATGATATTGTAATTATCATGTTTATTTATCTTGGCCTGATTTGTTTTGTGTGGCCTTATAAGATATATAATTGGGCTGTTAACTAATTATAGATGTTTACAAAATAATGTTATAATTGTGCAGTTTAGAAATTGCTAGCACAAGCATAGATACTGATGGAATGATAGGAACTTTCTATTTGACTTACATAAAAATTCCGAAATGATCATAATCTACGATGCGTGATTTAAACTTCTACAATATTCTAGAAGTTTCCCTTCTACAGTTTTCTAGGGGTTGGATTGACAATTTTATTTACGAACGACATCATACTAGTTTATAAACGTACTGGACATATATTCCATTGGATTCCGTACAGTTAAGAGAAAAATTCCGTATAAAGAAAAGACAAAGGATTTGACATATATCTTAACAGTAATTAGTTATTTCTTGTAAAATTGTGTAATAAATCATGTTGAATTTATTATTGATTTTTTTGTTGTTGGCTACAATTTAAAGGTGATTTCTGACCGTAACAAAATATTTGTGTCTGTTTATTTGACTGTTTTATTGACCAGCTGCTAATTAATGGTCAAATAATTGGTGTAAAACACATGTTTCAAATCATCGTATGACGTATGTTGTTTCCCTTGCATTATCAGCTATTCCTGTAGATTTGAATGATAATGGCATTATTATGTCTTTTGTGTGTCATGTTGACTCACAATTTAACAATATTAAATGCTCGATTAAATGTTTTCATAAGAAGTAAGTTCCTTATTTAAGTCAATGACATGTGCCTTTCAGCGTCTTTTATAAACAAAGATTTTGATTGTGTCTAAAAGAAGTGCTCTAGTCCGGTGCCAGTAATACATTTAAAAGCTTAAATTGTTATCTTTATAAATACTGTTAATATGGAACCAAATGTGATAACTATGTATTCATAAAAGATAACTTACCCTCATTTTCATAATTTTCTCTAGTGTACACGATGCAATCACCTATAAATCAGTCTGATAACTTCTAAAATAAAGTTTACAAATTGGGTAATCAACCCAGGTCGGCGGTAATGGAAGCCTTTTCATCAATTCCTCTGCCTATATTGTATGATATTGTATGATGGATCGTTCAAAGCTGAGACATTTTCAAAAATATGGTTAAATTTTCGGGGTACAAATTGAGATTAGTTTTTTCAGCAATTTAGCACACCCCGAAAAGCCTTTTCTAATGCGGCTTCTCGAGGTAAAAACACCTTTTTTCAAACAATAAGTTAAGAAAATACATTCAATAACTCAATAGTTGTTACACCTTTATTTTATGGTCCTGTGCTCTTCAGATCTCAACACATGGTTAAGTTCAGTTATTTGTAAAACATTGAAACATGTCCAATATAACTGCATCGAGATTGTTTGTTTACGCACTAACTTTGAGTTCCTGAATTTGAGGCGCATTTGGGTAATTGACCCATATGTCTCATGCAGCAAAAATGTTCGTCTGATGTATCAAATTTGATCATTGGTATCTTTGATGAGTTTTTGTCTATACTATACGATTTGTAAACTCTTCCGTTAAGCAAACAATTTTACAAAACAGGAAGTAAAAGTCATCATTGATCAGATCAAGAACAAGTAAAAATGAAAAAAAAAAGGAAAAAGGTTAGTGCTTATAAAGCTATGTGATTCCACCAAACATCAACGTCATCTAAGATATCATTATAGAATTTATATAACAATAACACAGTCAGTAATATTTTATTAAGCAACGACAACAGAAGCGCCAGCAGTTACGACCCAGACTACTACTATCACCACTAAACAAACCACTACAGTACCTAGTAAGTAATGTTAACAAAAACAATTATAAAAAGTTATAAATATAGACACCAGACAGCTAAATACATATAGGATAGAAAATAGAAACTGAGAATGTGTCAAAGAGACAACAACCCAACCAAAGAGCGGATAACAGTCCAAGGCCACCAATGTGTCTTCGACAGACCGAAACAATCACGCTCCCGGAGGCGGGCTTCAGCTGGACCCTAAGTAATAATGTGTACTAGTTCAGCGAAATGTACGCCACACTAAAATCCAAAACATACAAATGAACCAAAATTAAAAAAACAAAATAAAAAACAACACAAGACTTACAAAGACTTACAATATGCTACTTAAAAAGAGCAATATACATTTGTTCCAATTGGACAACCATAAACAATTCGTCGACAAAATACAAAAAGAACCAAAATTTTGGAAAAAAGAAAAAAAGATGAGTAGACAAATAATAGTCAGCTCATACCTAAACTTCCTTCAATGGAAATACATTTGTATTCCTTTAACAGGTAGGAGTAGATCTTCACAAATTGGATATCAGTTTACAGTTATCAAAATTGAATTTTGAATTTCCTGCCATGGCACACACTTTTATTTTACAACATTTTTTCCCTTTAAAAACAAAGTTCAAATGAAAAATTAATTAACTTAATTGCTTAACCAAGTATTTGTACAGTCAAATCCTTGGTTTAACAAATTAACTTTTTGAAGGTCTTAACTTTTATTTATTATGGTAATATTTAAGAATGTATTTGACAAACATATTGCCTTTAAAATAAACATGACAAAAATTTTCTCAAAAAACAGCAAATATCCTGTTTCCTGATATCCATAGTTTTTTTCTTCATTACTGCATATTGATGCATATGTAAGATATAAAATCCATTAATACGGTTATACACATATGATGATCTTCAACAGCTTTTATCAAAATGTATTACAAATGTAAGATTTTATTATGAAACTGTGATTCAGCATGTAGGAAAACAATCAAAATCTAAATTTCGAAGTCAACTTAATTAAACACCTATAAGGATTTTTTTTTAAACTTTTAATTTCAGTTAAAATAGGAGGAGATATGATAAGAAAAAATGTGATAAAATTCATAATGTTTGCCCCTTAAAATGAAAAAAAAAAGATTAACATATGCATACCAATGTATCGCTGTCTAATGTCTTATAAATATCTGACGGATGTTATTTTGTAGATTTCAAATACTTTTTTGAATTCAAGAGACCAATAAAGTAGTCTTATCATACTTTCTCCTATAATAAGGTACAGTCAATTAGTATTGTAAGCAATACAAAAACTCGGGATAACAAAATGAAAAAGATTTCTAAAGAAAAAACCGAAAGCTTGATTGTATCCAATATATTTAACAAAAACAAATACGACAGACAGCAACCATCGACAGCAACTGGACCATAGTCATCTTGATTTGGAAAGGCACATACATAAAATGGCAGGGTAAAACAGCTTTTTGAAGGCATAACTCTCCTAATCTAGGACAGTTATGATACAATAAAACAATAGAACAAACTTTAAAAGTCAGCTGAAAAGGGGATGATCTAGAGGCTTACGACCAGTTAACAAAAGTAAGTTGAAAGCCCAATTTCAACTATTAAACTGACCATGTTTTTAAACCTAAGGTATAGATAATGACATCTGCAAACTATTTATTGTAAATACGTCATAATCAGTCTGGGAAAAATATGACTTTGAGCAGTGCCAAAATATAAGCATAAACAGGGCAAATCGTGTGTTAAACCCTAGATAAAATAGAAACATGTACATTTTGTAAGGCTAATTTAAGTACTAATTTAAATGTATCAACTAATTAATATGTTTACATTTTAGCAACGACGGTTGTGTATCCAGCATGTGTACAAACAAACTGTGCTCACTTGTATCTGGTCAGTCGCTTTATTGTTTGCCAGCAGAATTTAGCTGTTAAAGCATTGCTATCATCTTAGGCACCTACCATTCATCTTTTGTCGGGGTGAATACTGTTTTTAATAAATTGTTGGACCAAAAAAATATTTGTTTCAGTAAGATAAAGAAAACAATCAAGTTTAAAAAAAATATCTTGTTCCTGTATTCTACTGAACAAACATTATTTGTTTTAGTTTTTATCGAGATCGGAATAAATTGTTTTTCCTAAACAAAGCCATGATCCCTGGCCTTCAAAAACAAAAGACGAATGATAGATGCCTTATATACACGGTTGAACATTTTTTGTCGTTCATTCTTTTTTTTAAGTGTTTTATAGTAGGTTCAATTAAGTATGACAAAACACTACACCGAATGCGTGAAATGATCCCCGACAAAACTAGCAGTTTCTGATTCACTATTGACCCATGTTAAGTGCCTCGAGAAAAAAACCATTAAGACAAATTGGTGATAATAATTGATTCCATTTCCTTTCAATATATATCTCTTGTCCTACCTTACGACATTTCCATTTCCATGCAAATTAATTCCCTAAGGCTTTTACTTGAGCAAATGTTATTGTTTTCATATTAAAAACATCATTTTAGGACAAAGGATAGAACAAAACAAATCATATTTTAAAATATGACATTATTAAAACTGTTATCAGTATTATCATTTTATCAACAGCTGTTAGATATCAAGTCTGCATAGGATGAGGGATGGATTAATACCCTGAAACGTGCGGTCTGTCTTTATGTTTGTTGTTTTTCTGCTTTGTGTCGATCTGACGAGTTAAGCCTTTTTCAACTGATTTTTATAGTTGGTTCTTATGTTGGGCTGATACACCACTGTCCAAGATAAGGGCGAGGGTCGTACAGTTGCCTATAATAATAGCTAACACTCACTATATTTGAACTTTGGTGGATAGTTGTCTCATTGGCAATCATACCTCATCTCCTTATTCTTATATAGTCCAACTCTACATATGCATTTGTCAATAATAACTGCAAGGTGAAATATAACCTATATTACAGTTCATGACATTTTGAATATAAGATAATTAATTTTTCTTCTTTCCAGCGATATTGTCATCTGTACCAAACTAACAATGTTATCGAAGGCAGATGTATGCCGTTCCAAGTAAGCAAAAGTACTATTAAAAATGTAAAGAAATGTTAGGAAATCCTCATAAAAGTATATTATACCATTTCATTCATAGTATATCATAAAATTTTGTATAATTTTGTTCGCCCCTCTATTTTTTTTTTTTTTTTTGGGAGCGTTTAAATTATTTGACTTGAGACAATTCTTGTGTAGAGAATGCCTGATGAAGGTGAATCAATAGACAGTTGTGAAATATCACGGGGCAGTGTAAATCCGTTCAGTGTGTACTGATTGATGTTTTCGTCACGGAGAACTTGGTTTATTCGTTAGTTGTGAATGGTTTTGAGCTAGCTTTAAGTAACTGCTAGTACTCTAATATCGGTGCTTTGTCTCTTTTGTTTTCATGTTAGTTGGGTTTTTTGTGATTCTTACAGATCTCTTGAGTTAATCAATTCGCTACTGCTTTATAAAGTTTGCTCTTGTGTTGTGCTTCAACACCACTGTCAAAGATAAGGGGAGGGTTTAGTTCTCAAAAAACATGTTTCACCATGCCACATTCTTTATATGCATGTCCCAAGTCAGGCGTTTGTAGTTTAGTTGTTGTCGTTGGTTCATGTCTCTTATACTTCTTTCGTAAACTGTTTTGATATAAATAAGGCCGTTATGTTGAAGACCATATGTTTACCTCTTATGGCATTCATACTAAATCTCCTAATTTCTATATAAGAAAAAGAGGCGAAAGATACCGAAGGGACATTGAAACTCATAAGCCGAAATAAACTGACAACGTCATGGCTAACAAAGAAAAAGACAAACACAAATAACAATACATAAAACACAACATAGAAAACTAAAGGCTGAGCAACACGATACCCACCAAATACTGAGGGTGATCTCAGATGCTCCAGAAGGGTAATCAGATCCTGATCCACATGTGGCACCCATGGGTAGCTGTATCATTGGCGTATACCGAAATCTCATTTCAATCTTGTTTACTGCTGATTGGTATCTTTATTTGTTTAAACTATATTTCACTGTTTGCCTATCAACAGGATTGATTTTAACGCTACATATGTAATTTTTTAGAGGAAACAACTGTCCGCAAACCAATACACTATGTATTCATTCATATACCAAAAACTTTGATTTTGATTTATTCAGATAGAAATTTATGACAAATTGAACGCATACACGTTCCTGTTTAAGTTTTCAACTATTCTGGTTATCCCAAAGAAGTCACTAAAAATAAACGTAGTTAACAGCCATTCTGCCTCTCGAACTTGCAAGATCACTCTTTCAATATTTAATATTTAATTCTGAAAACAACAGAAACAAACAATATTTAATTCTGAAAACAACAGAAACAAACAATATTTAATTCTGAAAACAACAGAAACAAACCTTTAGATAAATTAAAGAAATAAATCGCAAAAAAGGAAAAAAAAAATCCACAAACAAATAAATATTGTTGCTAAACATTTACGTCAGTTTGGTCTCTGGTGGAGAATTGTCTCATTGCCAATCATACCGCATCTTCTTATTTTCATAAACACCCACTGACTTGATTAAACGATGCACACCCGGTCTAGCTACTTTCGGAGTTCCTGTGATTCGTTCTGGTTTTAATAATGAATTAATGAAATTGTTGGCTCTAATTTAACACCTGAATATTTTGACTCCATCAATATAATGTAAACTTAGGTTGGACCTGTATGTAGTAATTACACAGAACTACAAGGCAATGGATGTACATGTGAAACAACAGAATGCTCTATACATATTCGTAAGTGCAATAATTATTATTATTGTTATCAAACATATTATTTTTCTTATCATTCAAATCTTTACGTTTGAGGTTTATGTATTCTTATGTTACAGTTCAAGCTTTAAAGCAAGAGACAAATATATCATCTTTTGCAGCTTAAGATTGAAAAAAAAAACGTCAGTTTCATGAACGTTATAACTTTTACATGTACATCTTCTTGAAATGAAATGATGATTTGCCAAAAGATATAATGAAGCAATCACGAAATGAATCAACCAACCATTATATTGTTGATTGATTGTTGGTTGTTTAACGTCCAATGAAATATTACATGCATGTTCAGGACAAGAACAATAACTGACAATTAATACAACAGATAGTTTCTGTAATAGAGGCCGTCCGGGATGAAGATCGGGGAAATTTAGACTGCCACTGCAAAATGAGGGTTAATTAGGATAGGGGTGGAAATTTAGCTTGGTAATAGGCCACCTACGGACACCTCAAATAGTTGGTGCAAGGGTTCCTAACGTAGAGAGAGTGCCGAGGCATCGGATTTAACGTCCCCATTCTGACCGGACGTGGCTGCGTACTTGTACATCCCGCACAGCCAAATGGACGCCCCACTTTGACAAGGGTTTTACTGCCGGTCGGAAGAAAACCTGTAGTGACCTTATGTCTATCCCATGTCACCCTTGGGGTACCAGCCATTATAATGTCAAGTCATAATGATTCTCAAATTGCAAACATTTTTATTTTTAATTAATTTTAAAAAATGTATTATCTGTAAATGATCTTGATGCCGAATTTTCTAGTTTTTGTCTATGTCCTAAGCCCCCTTTTTGATAAATATTACAAAACAAGTAGGCTCTTTGATATCGAACTTCGTTTTTATTCATATCAAACGTTAAGATATATTTCTGGACAAACATCATACTTTCATGTATGTTGAATACAACACACGTATGCTAAACGATTGGTTTTTAAACATCAATAATGTAATAACGGTTTATGACAGACCAAAGTCTGTTGCTGTTTCGATTGTTTCACATATTAGTATTTTGTTTTCTCCAAAAATATCATATAAAATTCTTATTTTTTGCAAATGTCAACCTTTGCAGTTTTACACGCCTTTCCTACATCATTCATTATACTTTCAAATGTACTTATTTACAAAACAAAAAAAAAAGCAAACAAAAGTAATAACAAAATATCAAACAAAAGGAAACGAACAAATCAAACGTTTGAGAGCACAAAATGCAATATCGACTACATAAAATAACCCCAAAAATTGCAATCTATGTTCAGTTTCGTATCTTCTAACATTTATGATAAAGCGAATTCATTTGGATATCATTGTACTCATTTTATATTGACATAACGATATTTCTTGTTTAAAGTGACAGCGTATTCTCATCACATGGGGCCAATATTCACAACAACGGTTCCTACAGCTACATCTACGATGAGCATCTCTACAACTGTAGATGGTTTGTATTGTTTTCACATTTCCATAATTATAAACTCATCAAAGAAACCAGGTATACACTTTAGTACGCAAGACATGCGTTTCGTCTACGAAAGACGCACATTCGACATTCGAATCATCAAAGTTAAAAAGGACAAAATAAAATACGAAGATCAAGACCATTGAGGACCTGAAATTTCGAAAGGTTTTGTCAAATACAGGTATTGTAATCTATTCCTTTGGTAGAAAATCCTTAGTATTTCGAAAATCCAAAGTTTTTTTCACAGATAATTTATAATTATGACCACATAATGCATGTATACTGGGTTGTTGTTGCCCTCGTGGAGGAAATATTCACCAGCAGTGGTATCGACCCAGTGTTTGTAAACAAACTCATCATGGATACAAGGATTTTAATTTTGTAACCGTGTAATAGGTAAATACTTTCTATTGCAGCACATAGATATAAGAAGATGTGGTATGAGTGCCAATGAGACAACTCTCCATCCAAGTTAAAATTTATAAAAGTAAACCAATATAGGTCAAAGTACGGTCTTCAACACGGAGCCTTGGCTCACACCGAACAGCAAGCTATAAAGGGCCCCAAAAATTGCTAGTGTAAAACCATTAAAACGGGAAAACCAACGGTCTAATCTAAAAAAAAAACGAGAAACGAGAAACACCTATGAACCACAACAACAAACGAAAACTACAGAACATCATGTTTACATTCATTGCAAATACAATAAAATATTCTATCAAACAATTTTCATAACTATACCTATATTTTGCTTTGTTAAATTTGGCGTTAATTTAAGGTAGAAGATAGATAACTAGATAACAAACTACAATTGTTGATCGTTGATCAGAAAAAAATGACGGAACATACTAGGAGAGCAATATTCATGACACAAAGAGACTCAGACAAAACAAAGGGAAAATCAGAAAAATTACTAAAAGACAAACAACAATCTACAAAACACTACATAGGAAACCAATGACTAAACCCTGCAAACCCGTCTAAAAACCGGGGGTGATCTTAATTCCGCATAAAGGGTAAACAGACACAGCTCCACTTGTGAGATCTGTCGTATTGCTCATGGTAAGGTAGCATTCATCGATTCGTTTAATTCGTCGATGTATCACTTGGAGACATGAGGACGAGATGATGGCTAGGACAATTTGGACATCTTGGTGGTCATCTGAGACAGAGATGATTCATAACCGCCAACTCATGATGGCGTCGTAAAACATTTGAAAGGGATAAGTTCAACTTCACCACTATGAAACCATTGGTCCAATTGCTTCCTTGAAAACACCAATCCCGTATCGAGGAAATCATGATAGAGACACAAGCACTGGAATATAGTATTGAGTAGGAAATATGTACTCCATAAGCATGCGCTGCTACAATATTGCCACATAGAAATGAAAAGCTCATATCAGACATATGAACTACAGTATTGTTAATTCCTTTATCAAAAGAAAGCAGACCAAATAAAAAAGGGAAATATGTACCAGGAGTAATACCAACATTGTTTTTCCCTTTAAGTCTTTGTTAAATTGTTGCTTTTAAAAAACAACTGTGCAGAATTTATCTTTGTCTCTAATAAAGTAATACTTAGCATGAGCAAAGTTTTAGTAACCATTTAACCTCAATATTTTATAGAAACACCAAATAAAAAAAGAATGGTACTTTATGACTCAGAAATTTTTCTCTGCAATGTAAAGAACTTTACCTCGGAGAGATAGTTTAAGCTTCATTTGAAGTAGAATTCTAACATTACTAAAGTTTAAATAATGTCAATACTGATGCATTGGGTACTGGCTTGATTGTATTTTCGAGAATTTAATGGGTTCCAGTAGTGGAATCGACTCGAGTAAAATTCAAATTTTAATACGATTAAATCTTCAAATTGTCAGTTCTGCGTTTAACTTTTGTAAATGATTCAATATGTAGCTTAAATGGGTTTAAGCCTTTGAAATTTAAATATGTCATGAACTACATCTTTTTCACTTTAGGATACGAATGCTTCGGACAAATATGTTCGTCCACTAACGTAAGTATATCTTAAAATTTAATAAAGTCTATCCTCCAGTTGAGCTTAGAAATTGTCAGGAAAACCATCCATAATATGCAAATCAGTCAATTCAATCCAGTAGTATTCTATAAAACTTTACCCAATTCGTCTACAGGACACTAATTTAAGCACATGCTGTTAATTTACATGTCATCATTTTACGACCAAGATATTTTGCTAATATAACATGAACAATAATTCAGAAAAAATATACTTTTTGTTTTAACAAAATAGGTAATTTATAAGAGTAACAGGAATATGTGATAAAGGATTCGTTTATTATTTAATGTACTTAATAGCAGGAGACCACTCCACTGCCGAGGCAACCGGTCTCTTCCATTTTAGGGTTCACGTAAATTCCGTCAGATTTTGTTTGTTAAGTTGGTTCACCAGATTTGAACATCGGACATACACTATTATCTAATTTTCAGGACTGTTGCAAAACGAAGTACGACTTTTATTTATCTTTTTCCTCAACATGCACGAAGGTTTCGACGACGATACATACCAATGCTTGGCACATTAAATTCTATAAGCATCATTTCAATACTTGTAAAAAATCACTTTGTGTATCTTATTTGTAGAAATAAATGCGATCTTTTCCAACTGTTTAATGTATTTATAGTATGCCGTTACAACATTTTCTAACACTTAGATTGCAAACTGATTGTTTGTTTTATTTTAAATTTGAGTCGTGTGTTTTGGGGGATTAAGTGAATGACTACGACAACAGTTGCTTGAAGGGGCCTATTTTCGAATCAGTTTTGGTGTAGTATCTTATCTCATCAAAAATATTTTCATTTTCAGACCTTTTGTCATATGTATGAATATTTGGACCACTTTGATACAAGATGTATGCCTTTCAATGTAAGTTTTAGATTGATTCAGTAATAGCAATATTTCCTGTTTTAATATTTTAATATTGTTACAACGATGAACTGTCGTGAAAGGTTTACAAAGCAAACCCCCCCCGGTTTCTGATTGGGTTCGTGTTGCTCAGTCTTAGTTTTCTATGTTGAGTTTTGTGTACTGTGTTTGTCTATTGTTCTTTTTCTTTGTCATGGGGTTGTCAGTTTGTTTTCGACTAATGAGTTTTGATATCCCTTTAGTATCTTTCATCCCTTTTTAAAAGCAATCCAATATATATCCCTTTATATGGCTTATTTTGTGTAGTAAGTTTTTTTATGAAATAGTCAACAAGAAATTTATCCTCTTTTTATTAATTTATATTGCATCTGTTGTTTACAAAGGTAGTCACTGCTATTTCATACGTAAGGTTTCATTGATCTGCCAGATTATGTTCAAAAGTAATAGCGTTATAGATAATAATTAAAATATATATGTATTCCAATAATCCAATGATTTCCTCTATACATTTGGAAATAATTTCGTCCGTCTATCCTTACCTCTGTTCGTAATTATTTTATCGCATAATGCTACGTACATTCACCTTTCAGAGCTTCTTGCTACATGTATTTAGCATCAAGATTTATATTTGTAAACTATACCATGTAACCCATTTTATGATACATCTGTTATGTACTTCCTGTTTGCTGCATTCATATTTAAAAAAAATGATCCTCACATGAATGTATGATGATTTTCGTCGCATTTTGTTTCAGCAACTACATATCCCAACTTCTGACATTTGAAAGCAAGCTATATATTTATAAATTTTGCTGTGTGACATACTTTCATATCCGTTTCCGATCCAATATTATGTATTTCTATACCAATATGTTCTTCGCATCTTATTGCTGCATTTACAAGAAATATGTGGTGCATTGTTTTTAACCTGAAAGTACCAGCTGTTTCATCTTTGCTAGTAAGTTTGATATTGGTAAGCTGAAACGTATGGTTATTTACTCATTTGAACTCTAATGGAAAGTTTTCTCTTAGCCATTATATCACATCTCCTTATTTTTACCAAAAAAAAAGGATCCCACGATCCCATAACAAGATATCTTTAAACCTTATTGCAACACCAAGATAATAAAATGAGAGAGCTAAATTATCAATGGTTTGTTTTTTTAAATAGTTCTTCATTTTTACAGCACTGGATCGATATCGCTGCTGGTGGACTATCAGTCGCCAAGGATATCATTAGCGCCTTGGTACTGACATAATTTATTACAAATCTTTTTTAAAATGTCAATCTAAAAAATTAAAAATTGTTAAGAAACTAGGATTTCACCTCTCCCATCAAAGTTGACATTAGATGAATTTTGCTTATTTTTGTAGGCCTATTTTGGCCAAAAGTTCTTCCACTGTTTCGATTTTTTGTATATCCTATATCAGTGCCTGAAGGGTATCATCAGCTTAGTCGTCAGTACTTCGGTACTGCCATGATTTATAGCAAACCAAGCAGCAATTGTCCGTTTAAAAATATAGAAATTATTAAAAAATATAGAAATTATTAAGAAACTAAGGTTTCCCTTTCCTCAAGCAATATTGACTTTAGGTTGATTTGGCTATTTTGTATGTCCTTTTTGTTCATATAGCTCTTCCACTGCTTGGTTCTTACACATGCATTGCTTTCGGATATTTTGCTTTGATCATTCCTGATGAAAGTAAATCCAGAAAAACGCTTCGGACGCATGCAATTTATAAAGAATTGTTTTCATAATCATTGTTGTTAAAAACTTGTTTTCATTTTGTCAGAATTGATATTCAACAAATACATACTACTGAAAAAAGTAAAATCACTAAAATACTGAACTCCGAGGAAAATTCAAAACGGAAAGTCCCTAATCAAATGGCAATGAATGTCCGTCATTTCTTCCAACATTAAGGCAGTAAAAATACGTAATTTGTTATTAAATGGAATTCAAAACTTGTTTTTTCATAAAAAAAAAAGTTTTGACATTTTTTAATCTTTGATCTGATATCTTAGAAAGTGAAAAGTAAAATAACAAAAATACCAAACTTCAAGGAAAATTAAAAACGCAAAGTCTCTTATCAAATAGCAAAATCAAAAGCTCAAAAACACCAAACGAATGGAAAACAACTGTCATATTGCTGACATGGTACAGACATTTCCGTAAGTAAAAATAGTGGATTAAACCTGGTTTTATAGCTAGCTAAACATCTCACTTGTATGACAGTTGCATACAATTTCATTATACTGACAACAATGTGTGATAAAAAATATCTTAATATAATCGGTCCATGTAAATGTTACAGGGATTTTCTAAATTTAGACATTTTGAAGGATCAGTGGATTTCTTTCTTTTTAACATATTATTATTTATTTTAGTAACGTTGTGTATAAATCTTTTGATGATGCAGCTGTCACCGTAATTGCTCTAAATACCATAAATAATAAGCCTAGGGTAACCTATTGATAAACATATTTGAAAATTACAATTTACAATTTTCCAGAAATAAAACATTGATTTTCTGTATATCATTAAGTTACTTGTAAATCGTCCAAAAAATGAATGAAAATATAATTGCAATTTTTACACAAAATTTCACAAATTGCCTGTTCTGTTTTATGTAATACATAGAAAAGATATCATAAAAAAGAAATAAATATGACCAAAATCACTATATCTTGTAAAAAAATAACTAATGATTGTGTAAAACTTAGAAATACTTGAAATGAAGATTTTTGGATGGGGACAGAAAAATATTGACAGAGCTGAACGTGTCATGGTCCAGGCTTCACCAAAGTTGGTAGTAGTGCTAAGGCCAGATTTAACGCTAAAGGATGTATTTTTTTTTAATTAGGACACATGTGTAACAGAACATCCCAAACACTCTCTGAAATAGCAAAAAATTGTCGGGTCAAGTGCTTGTGGAATTTTTTAATTTTATAGTAGAATTTATTTTTAATTATCAGATTTCATAAATCGCAGGCATTAAAATTCAGTAAATATTATGAATAAAACTGCTCTGTTGTTCAATACTTTTATTTGCTTAGTTTTTTCTTTCCATTCAACAATTTTAAGCATGATGTTAAATGTCTTTCAATGTTTCCGTGCATTTTATAAAATGCCTTAAAAAAAGTCAATATATAAAATGCCTAAATTCTACAGGTATTTTAGAAAATTGCCTAAAGTTTTCACGCGTACTACAAACACACCTGTTAATATTTCATAATTACATTACATGTATGTTTTAAAATAATACGTTATTTTGATTGGCTAATAGCAATCTCGCGTCATTCTGATACTAACCTTCATTTCAAAATGAAAAGTAACATTCATGATGACACGAGCTTCCACAATAAAGTGCACAGGTAAATAAAAGAAAAAAATTGATAGAAATCGTGTTTTCATGATCCTAGCAAAAAAATGCAATTAAAAGTATTGAATGCTTCTTTAAGTAATTTTATAGGGTTGTAAAAGCGTTGATCGTGCGCACATTTTTAGAATGAAGCGCTTTCGCGCTTCATACAAAATGTACTTCGTTCAACGCTTTTACAGCCTAATAAATTGTCAAAAAGAAGCATTCAATTTTTAAATACAGCTCACCAGTTCCATTTTGATTAGTATTCCATGGCTGTTGACATTCCACCTGTCAAAACATAAAATGGTAGAAATATGTTAGACATGGTATCGTCTCCTTTTATGCATTCAATATTTTCAACTCTAGACATGGAATGAGTGTAAAGTATATACAGACCTTCATGGAAGTGGTTGTTCTTGTACTTCCAAGACATGTGCAGAATCTGTAGGTAAGTTGGGAAAAAATAAGTAAATTTGCAATAAGATAAATTGGTTGTGTTTGGAAACAAAACACGCCATCATATTTGATAAATGTACTGTCTGTAGTTGTTAACGAATTTGCTATCCAAAATATGTCATTTTCAAAATTGTATTTTCAAATTAGTGTGAATGAATTCAACAGACGCTAGTGTAGTTGTTTTTTTTTCGTGTTGTATTTTCATTTTTGCCTTTTTCTGTTTTTTTTTTTAAGAAATCCGCTGCATGTGGTGATATCATCCAGTTTGTACGATCTGAAAGATGAAATATATGAAATGGAATTTTATCGCGATATATGCATAATTTCTCTACTTATTGATAGAAAGACATATTTTAGGACCCTGTGTTAATTTTAAACGAAATTATGTTTTTTAGACCGTCATGATGTTCCTATGTTGACTTTATAACATTTTGTTATTGTTTTTATTTGTTGATTATGGAATATGATTTTAAAAAATGTGTGCTAAGAAAACCTTTTAGGATCTGCAAGCATTCTTGCATAATTTATCAAATGTTTCAGAATGTGACGTCATACACGAATGAATACTTCGTTACGTTACGTGTAAAAACACTCATCAAAGATATGATTGATTGATTGATTGTTGGTTGCTTTACGCCGCATTAGCACAACAAGGCTATATCGCGGCGACCAAAGATATGAAGCTTTGGTCATGTATAAAATTAAATTATTGATGTTGAATGCTGAAGCCTATTTGCTCACGTGGTTTTCTGTCACTCTATCTCGTCTTATTATCCTAATATCATTAAAGTTAGCTCGTTATGCAAAAGTGACATTCTAGACGGATAGGCAAACTCTGATTAATTTTTGACGACTGGTTTTCAAATTCTGATAATGTAAAATGAGCTTATAGTTGTTTATTCCAATGTCAATACAAGAAAATCGTATGCAATTATTCCCAATTGCTTAATCAAATTATGTTTGAACTATTACTTTCTCGATATAGTTTAAGAAACATACCTATGAATTTAAGTATGTACTTTTCTTCACAATGTACCAACAATAAAAACTCTGTTCCTTTGCTTCTTGTGTTTTTATGTGCATATACTGATTTGATGTCATGGATGAATACCCCATATGATTTCCTTTATATCAACAGAGGAACGACATCGATTATACGTCAAAATTTGGTTTTGAATTGGAAAAATATCTATATTTTGTCTTTACTATTAAAGCAGCGTTATAACAATAACAGTACAATTTTTACTAACTAGATGAGAATTCCGAGAATTGTCTTTACAATGATGCTCGAGTTTAAAATATTTGAAAATCCAAAACATATTACACACGTTGAAGAATTGAAAAGACTATTCCTACCAAAAGTAAAGCCAACCCCACAAAAGGAAGCAGTAAATGACAGGTTGATTGAAAATGTTTCTTTTTTTGCAGTGAAAGACTACGTTAACCATATTTCAATCACAACATCAAGACAAAAAAATATATCAACTACTATCAGTTCAACAAGACTGACGACCACATCCCCAACAACGATATCTCCAACAATGATATCTCCCACAACAGGTAATTTTTACTTATTATTTGCTGCTGGTCTATAAAAACTAAGTAACCATACCAGGCTCATGATTTGGTACGCCAGGCGAGTGGTTCGTCTACATAAGACCCATGCACTAGAACAGTCGGAAGGCCAATTCAAATAAGATGAAGAACTTAAAAACAAAACAGTTTGGCTAAATACAGCTAAGTGTCGTATATACCACAAGTATAGACAACGACCAAGTGGTTGTAGACACTCATGAACGGTATCAGACTATTAAAACGGTACGCCCGGTTCATCTACATTATAAGACTCACCAGTGACACTCGATTTAATAGAGTTGGAAGACCAAATCAGAAACGAAGTTGGAAAGAATTTAGAACCAAAAGTTCCGAAATAAGTTGTATAAGATATTACACATTATCATGGCTTGCATGGAATATGCGTCCAAAGTAAATGTATAAGATGATGCAAACTTTCTGTAGTTTAGGCATAAAAATAGAATTAAAGATAACAATAGTATGCTAAGCACAATCAGTAGTCAATGCAAGAAGAGTTGAAATTTGGGATAAAAAAATAGACGTAAGATAACAACGGGACCTATAAAAATAAGTCCAATAACAAATAAATCGGTTAAACTACTTTGAAGGCGCCAACCCTCTCTTAACCTGGGCCAGTGATGTAAAAGTACAAGATAAAAAAACACAATATGAAAATCAATTGAATATTAACTCATCAGATCAATACAAATCAGAAATACATCTAACAAAAACACAGACCGTAAGTGGCAGGGTACTTACACATCCCATGCTGTTAAGAACAAATATATGTTCAACTTTTTGATGGCGTTTGCTAATTTTTGACTTGTTTTTATAGGACTTCATTGTTTCAATACTTTATGTGCTGTAAATGAGGTATGTAACATTGCATTGTAAAAACGAACACAAATGAGTCAAGTCAGTAACTGCAGTGGATGTACCCTTGTTTTAATTACACATCTTGTTTTTAAACATGTTCCTTTTATCATACGACTTCCCGTTTCAGAATATGAATTTAGGTCGTATTATAATGTAAACACAGGAAAGAATATAAGAATTTGCGATATTTGATTCAAAATCTTACATGTCAAAACAAAAAGCAGACTTTTTTGAATGTTTGAGATAGGGTTTGAGCATGGATTAAAAGTTAAACCACTATGCAAGTTGAAGATGGCCCAAATATTAAACTGAATAACGCAATATATGTATGTTTGCCACAAAGAACACACATACATATGTGCTATCGACTGGTGTATACGACATACAAAATAACTTGTGGCAATACTTTTACGAAATCCTAATAGATAACCGGGTTTTAAAATGGTCGGTATTTATTATATCTCAAATGCGGTCCCGCGTAGCAAAAAGTATACACGTAACAACAATACAGCGATGACAAACGCATTTTGTCGAAATAAAACGTCAGTTTGGATCAGGAGGCTTTAGTCATGACACTTTTGTGAAAACCATTTTGATATTTTGACAACGTCAAAAAATATGAAAATTTTATTTACACTTTCCAAGCATCACCGCACGCCACTCGTTGAACACTGTAAAAGCAGACCGGACAATAGTGGCAAAAGACAGTTAGAAATACAAATTCATTCCAAAGATGAAAATTTTTCAAATTTTCAAAGATCTTTCCCTCGATCATCACTGACGAGACATTAATTGTCGAAATGCGCATCTAGTGCAGTAAAATTAGTATCGTTCATGTTATTGACATACATAAAAATATTATTCATACAGTAACTGTCGTATATCAGCCTGATATATAGAATATCTATTATTATGTAAAAAAAAGGTTTTTTAGGTATGCAGAGTGTACTTAGATAACGCAAATTTATATGCAGGATATTGTATTTTGAAAGTGAGTATTTTTCATTAACTCTGCTCGGTAGTGATTTATTACTTTTTATACAGCACAGAATAAAAAAAAAGAAAAACAACTAGATTTTGGTCGAATTTTTATATCTTTTATTCTCGCGTAGATTTGAAGCTACACTTAACAAGATAATTGATTATTTTGTATATACTTGTAAGGATTTGATGTAAAACATGATAAAAATTATAATAGCAATTCGTTTTTTATGCGATTTGCGTTCATCTGTGTATATTTCATACTAAGCTATGACTATCAATCTCTTTAATTTCTTATGTATATTTGAATAGAGTTAAGTAACAAATATCATAGAAAACGCAAAACCGTTTTACTTCATTCATTGTCATTTGCAGTTCTGTGCCATGACACTAATTGAGTGAATGCATTGAACGATCTCCGCGAGTACATGTCTCTGTGGAATTAGAAAAATGCATTTGTGAAAATAATAGATGAGAAATATAGATTAAATTTCTATCAACTTCATATTCCATTAAATTAACCTGAAACGAATCATTAATTAATAGAAAACTCGTTTCATTATTGTTCTTTAGTATAATAATTTGTAAAAAATAATGCCATGTTCATATGCACTAGTTTCAAATCCAGAATTACAAAAATCGTACCATTGACATACTTCCAAACAAACAGATACATAATAAAACAAAAACAGAGGAAAGACATGTGACACAATATGAAAAAGGTTAAAAAGATAAATATTAGCATACAAAACACTGCAAGGAAAACTTGATTGAACAACACGCACGGAGTGATTTAAGTGCTCCAGAGGGGTACACAGCTCCACGTGCACGTTTGGCACAGGGATTTTAACTAATTTCAAGTATATATCCGGTGATAACTTCTGTTTGGTGACAAAATGAAATTCTGAGGCGTAGCATTTCATATGATTTTATTTACATTCACTTTTGAATTTGCCTGCATGTATTCAGTATATATGTTATGTTTTTAGTGGTTTTACAAATCAGATTAGCTCGATATCGCTTTGGCATCTGACAGCTTTTTCGGAATTGCTGAGATTGTTGGACCCACAGTCGGAACAAGTCACAAAAAAAAAACTTCGAACGTTATTTTGTAATCGTGAAGATTTATGTATCAACTGAATGTATTTTTTGAGATGTTTGTGTTGCTAAAAGAATGAGTTTTATTTAAATCAGAATGTAGAAGATTTGTTGATTTGCAAAAGTAGTACATTGACCCTGTCGACAGAATGTGATTGTTCATTACAGAGTTGTATTGATAGTTTTACAGGTAAATATAAGAACTGTGTGACTGTGTAAATAGCAGTTGTCTTTGGTGGATGGATTCAAGAAAACTATAGAAACTAAACAAGTTTCCTAACATCTTTTTGCTATTGTACTTGTATTTGTTATGTTCTTGTTATGCATCACTAGAAAATGAATGATTTGTCTTAAACGGTCAATTTGATATTAACATCAACTGAAAAGTCTAATATATATTATTCAGTGCTGTTCAAACAATTCACTTGCGATCAATCCAGTACTATTCAGTAGCTTTTCAGACAATTCAAACAATGAATATAAGTTGAATACTCGCATATGTGTGCAATAGTAAATCATTACAAAGTGCAAGGAAAGAAAGCATATCGCAGAAATATAACAACGACTCAATTTTGTTTTAAACAAATCAAAATTATCAAAAGTCAGTTATTGATGACAAGAATGTAATAGAACAAAAAGTTGCATAATAAATAATTTAGAAGCATACATATTGTTTGCACATATCCTTTCTTTTTGACCACAAACAACAAACAATCATATCAAAAGTGAAAAGATAGGCAGTTTCACACATATTCATTTCTTGCTATGTTTCTTATATAGTTTATAGTTTTCTCTGTTGAGTTTTGTAGACTTTTGTTTGTCTTATGGTCGTTTTTCGCTTTTTTTCCATATCATAAGTTTTTTTTTCGACTTATGAATTTGAATATCCCTTAGGTATCTTCCGCGTTTCTTATGCCGTTGAAATGGTAGCTGTAAAGCAAAATTTAAACAAATCGATGTCATAAATTTAATTATATTCGGTAATTGAATTTGACTTACTGCAATTAGCATCATATATTTCTTTTTAAAACAATATGAAGATATAGTTACCATTTCAACGTCAAAAGAGATATCAAAACAATATGTATGCTTCTAAATTATTTTTTATGCAACTTTTTTGTTCTATTTCATTCTTGTCTAGTTGAGAGTTGTCTCATTGGCAATTATATCACATCTTCTTATTTCTATATAGAAATTTATTAATTCAAAACTTTCAGAAATTAAGTGAAAACAAATCCTATATTGGCTTGTATTTTACGATCATTTAAACTCAAATTATTGTTTTTCTTTTCATACCAACTATTCATTGCATCATTTCCATGTATAATGATTTAAATTAAGCATTTTCTTTTTCAAAAAATCTTGTTTTGTATAATAGTTATGCTATATGAAATATATTTAGATGACTGATAAAGGCAGTTTCTATGACTGCCTTTATCATAAAATCTGCTAATAAGAACCGTTTTCGGCTATTTGGGGTGTAAAATACACATTGTTTGGTTTTTTTTAATTTCATTTTATATCTACTTTCTTTACAGTCATTGCTTTCTTTTTCTAGTCTCAAAATCAACCAATACTCATCCAACAACTACCATGCAGACACTAATTTCACCAAAACCACTAATCGTTACAAATGCACTTTCTTCTGAATTAACCACTTTGACGATATCAGCATCATCGCCAACACCAACATGTAAGTTTATCCTTATATTTCATCACAATTCTAGACCACGTATGTTTAATTTAAAAGATTGAAACTTAAACAGGACAGCAGGAATTACCGAAAATATTGGTCAGTACAACCACCACACCAACCATCACAAAACAATCCTATAAACACCACAGATGCACAGAAAGCAATAACTAAAGATACATGGTCCTAATAGCTTGATTTGGTACTGACTGAAAATGGGGTTGGGTGTTACCAGTTTTACCTGAAAAACAAAATCATCGCCGATTGACTACATGGCTCACATGTCGTAAAATTCAGACACACAATAAAAACCTGTACAGTCTAGCTACACATAAAGTAGTTAATAACTAGTACAAGGGAACATTTTTAAATATACTCAAAATAGTGCTTGTACTAAAACAATCATGCTAAGTTTATCAAGATGTTAGTTGAATACTGCTGTTCAAGAAGCAAAAACACATAACAGTCTTATTTGTTTCCAAAATTTAATCAAATTTGATTAAAATCAGAAGTTTTTGTGAGATGTCAGTAAGAATTCAACCTCGTCAGGCTTACGTAAATTAAAACAATATTTATGAATTTGACCTTGCCATTTGAAATACGACGGTTGGCAAAGTTGAGCAAGATCTGCCTACTTTTCCGGAGAACCTGGTATTGTCCCGGGTTGATGGTGGGGTTCAAGTTGCCTAGTATAAAATTTTTAATGTAGAGTTTTGAAGACTTCTATTTGTCTGTTCGTCTTTTAATTTTCTATTTTGTTGTTGTTATAATTGTCAGTCTCTCTTCAACTTATGAGTTTTTATTCCTCCTTCTTTGTCTTAATTGAATAAGTTTATATATCACACCTGCAGCCAATGTTCTTGAAATATTTTAGAAAATTCCCAAGTTCAAATATGTATTTTTTTTTAAGTGTTTAGCTATAGATTCGTATCCTATGTAGGAGGTTTTTCTGTTCATGTAGTTATATAAATGTCAGAATCACTTTAAACATCGAATAAAAAACTGTTTTAAAGCTCATCAAAGATAATGTTTAACATTTTATAAAAGTATTTTATTGATATGGTATCATATTCCATAGTGGAAGATACACATCCTTTTATTTGTAAACAAACAAACAGCAAAATGCGAATAAAGCAAAAGGTGTACGTTATAATAAAAACAAAAGCTGTTATTTTCTGGTCGTATTGAAATGTTCAACACAATGATTCTGGCTGAATTAACTATATTCGGGTATTATTAATGAGGTTTTGGAACCAGTTGGCAAATAGCACTGCAGATTAACGTTTATTCTATTTGGTTTTTACTCGCTTTTGGTTTCAAATGATCTGCAATTTTGCAATCGATTTGGTCTCATAACTGTTTATTCGAGCGCCACTGATCAGTCCTATATATACGAAACGCGCATCATATGTTTAACAACATAATCGTGATATCATTATTGAATGTTTTGCAAATTGATCCGAGCTAAATATGATTAAAATATGTTAGAACTGTAAATATATAATTTCCTTCTCTTTCAGCCGTTTGTCAAGATAAACCCGGAGTGGATTGTGTATTGCTTAATTCAACAAATATTTGTGCCAACCCGTTTTCACATCAATATTGTGCCCATTTTTGTGGTCACTGTACCAGAGTTATTCAGTCTGCCTTTGGATAATGGATATTCTGCTATTAAATGTTATTGCATGTTATAATTTGATTTGTTTTGCGAAAGATTTTTCTTTTGCTTCAGTTAGTTTAAAGTGTTAAAAGTAGTAGAATACACCAAGGGAGCATTTCAAAACTCAAACGGAAACCAACAAAATACTAATTTAAACTTAAGACTGAGCAAGCTCTTGCATTCAATTACCGAATTCACCTTCTGTACGTTTTGTTGAAGGCTAAACAGTGCGCTGCAGTTGTTTACATCACCATCCGTTGGTCTTTGTTGGATAGTTGTTTCATACCATTTCTTCATATTTCTATATATAGAACAGATATATCAAAAATGTAATTTCGCGTATTAATCTTAGAGAGGGTTTATATTATACATCTTACTGTGATTATCCTAAAGACTATCAAAATACCAATTGCTAAACTATTTCAACAAAATTGCAGTTTGAATTCATCTCTACAAACTACAGAACTACAAATCGGTAAGGTTAGAAAGAACACATAAGACGTAGAACATTTCTAACTTTTTATTATTAGTTCATACGCAAATTTTTAACATCAAAACGTAAAATGCCTGGGTATTGTGGGTATGAATTGAACCTTTTAAAACCTAGGATAACTATTGAACCCTAGTTGAACTTTATTTTAAATAATAAAAAAGTTGAAAAGAATGACATATTTTGTCTTTTTCTCAGTTCAGAAGTAAATGCACTTCCTGTAAAAATGCAACGAAAGGTATGTTGAATTTTTCAGATCAATCCAGGCTAAAATTTTGTTTTGACATGAAATGATAAAAATTGCCTTATTTAGCGTTAAGTAGTTTATACATGTAAATAGATATAAGAAGATGTGGTATGAGTGCCAATGAGACAACTCTCCATCCAAGTCACAATTTGTAAGAGTAAACCATTATAGGTCAAATAACGGCCTTCAACACGGAGCCTTGGCTCACACCGAACAGCAAGCTATAAAGGGCCCCAAGAATGACTAGTGTAAAACCATTCAAACAGGAAAACCAACGGTCTAATCTATATAAAAAACGAGAAACGAGAAACACTTATAAACCACATCAACAAACGACAACCACTGAACATCAGGTTCCAGACTAAACTAAAATCACTGATACACTAGAATGTTAATTATTACTTTTTTTGAACATGCACATGTAAGAATAAGATATAGATGATAAAAATAGACAATAAAACTTTTTGTATTTCAGTTGTTGTGGTTAACACGACTTGCACTTCTTTGTTTTATGCGACTGTCATACAAGTGAGAGGTTAAGCTAGCTATAAAACCAGGTTTAATCCACCATTTTGTACATAAGAAAATGCCTGTACCAAGTCAGGAATATGACAGTTGTTATCCATTCGTTTGATGTGTTCGAGCTTTTGATTTTGCCATTTGATTAGGAACTTTCCGTTTTGAATCTTCCTCGGAGTTCGGTATTTTTGTGATTTTACTTTTTTCTTTCCGTTTATGACAGGACAATACAAACTCTCTTCATTAGTCATGTTAGAATTTATTAAGCTTTGATAAATACAAATCCATAATTATGCTTCGCAACTTTTAATCCTCGATCCGTTCAGTTCTATCACTGTGCAAGCCAATTGTCAATCAGCTTTTCACCCCTGAACTCTTTTTTTTCGATCTCTGTTTTTGGTTATTTTTGTCTACTTTGTTCCTTTTAATGCTTTGTTGTTAATTTCATAAAAAACAATATTATTAATATTGTTTTCTTTTATTGTTTACATTGTCTTAAAATAATCGTTTACAAATCATTCCGGATCTGTTATAAAAAATTGCCGAGAAATGTCGCAGTTAAGTAGTCTTTAAAACTTGTCCCAACTACCGCCAATAGAGAGAAATCGTCTTTAGATTGTCTTGAATGCATTATTTGTCAAACTAAAAGCCCGGAAAAGTTAGATATTTTCACTGTCAAGGGAAAGTATTTTAGTGAAAGTACTGACGTATGGAGAGAGGAGATTTATTGGAAGATTGTTGAAGATTTGTCTTCTATCAATCATACCATTTTGGAAAAAAAATTGAGGTAAAATACTATAGATATTGTTGTAAATCATACACCAGTAAACCAATTCTTACTCGGTATAAACAAGCATTTATGGAAACGGAGGAGAAAACCGATAGCGCTTGCATAATCTCACCTACTGCAAGCACATCTAAAATAACAACCCGATCTGACTGATATTCCTGTATATTTTTTGTAAGAACAAAACCTACAAAAAGACGCAAGACTAAACAAAGTGGAATCAGAATGAAATATAAATAGAAGCAGCCAGAAATAATTCGGATCATGAAATTGAGTCAATGGTTGTACATAAACATTTTAATGAAAATGCCTTTTATCATTCGGCCTGTATAACTAACTTTTTACTGTAAAAAAAAAACACCCTAAAAAGTGAAAACAGAAGCATTTGACTATGATACTGGTTTTGTTAAGTTGGTATCAGAAATACATTCGAAACTGATGGTTAAGCATAAGGCTTTCATGTTTTTGACCTTTCTTGAAAAAATTTGGCGCCTTACCTCCAAAGCAGTATGCCGACAAATACACAACGTATACATTGCAAAATAGGTTGTCGAATTATTATTGCGATTCAATTATTATACAACCACAACAAGGTCAAGCCAAATCAAACGTCGTGTTCAGCAGCTCCATGTCTATCGATGATTCCATTTGAACTACAAGTCAGGTAAAATCTGAACTCAAGATAGCATTTTTGTAAAAATCACCTGGAAACATAAAATCATCTTTTTTATAACTGTAAACAGATTTACCCAGTAATAATAGAATTAAAAACTATATTCACAAAAGTACATTCGACACATGAATTAATTCTACAAGAAAGAAATATGATCCTCGGTTTTTATGACAGGCCTATAAAGGAAATTATATTTGGCAATATCCTAATATGCAGTACCAAATGGAAAATTTGGAAACTTCCAAATCAAACAAAGTTTGAAAAAATCACCTGCAAAAATATAAGAATTATTAGACAGTTTTATTGTGAACAAAACGAAAATTTCGTTTAATGTTTAAATCATTTACAAAATTAAGAACCAGATATCAATAAGATCAGACAATCAAAACGTCAAGTGTGTACTTTTACATTTTTAAGTTAACGTATCGATACATTAAGATAAAAAAAATGGTGATTATGTCTACCAACTTATTACATTTACATTGTTTATAACAAGAATAGAACAATGTACATAAACTAATTCAAAACTTACCTTGTTGTAGACTGGTATCATGTTTATAGGTCCGGTGTAATCGAATTAATGTATGATATTAGGTGTGTTTCACTTTTTGTATTAATTTGATATAAGAAAGCTACAATATAACATTTTATAAGTAAAGTGGACATCTATCTCGCCTGTTTTCTCTGGAGAGGAGTGAGAATTTAACACAGTGACCCTAAGTATGCTTTCCTGTGCTACGAAGGTAATTGTAACAGGATATTGGAAATAAGTTGTATTTGAATTAAAAATAAACGATATCACAGTTAGATTTGGAAATTGGAGATTCCAAATATACAATAAGTGAAGAACAGATTGTATAGAAAGCTGCTAATATTTTCAGGCATGATATACAGAGTCGTCTTGATTTAAACTGTGATTATTAACCGGTGCCTTGTAAATATTCTCTTCTAATGTCAATTCAATCTGTGCCATCCAACCTGACTTGGATGAAAAATCTTTTCTGGATGTTACAAACAAATGCCTTATGTCTGCAGAAAAAATGCGAAAATGCATGTCGCTTACGAGAAGCTTAGTAACAATGAGTATGAATGTAATTACCTCGTTTAAAATTGGTCTTCCTACATAAGGAAATGAAATACATGTACCAAGTCAGGAACAAAGCAGTTGTTTTCAATTCGATTGATGTGTTTTAGCTTTTGATTTTGCCATTTGATAAGGGACTTTCCGTTTTGAATTTTCCTTGGAGTTCGATATTTTTGTTATTTTACTTTTTGCTTTATAATTGTACCACGAATTTGGCCTAAAAAGATAAGTTGATTCATTACATGCTCATGAGTTTTGCAATGCATATGATAAGGCTAGGCGATACCTCACAAGCTTATTAAGTTAAGAAATTGATAAGATCCAAAATGGTTTGTATGTTGCAAACGATATCGTTCCGTTGTCGGCTGATGATTGTTTTATCCACGAAGGATCTTATAAAATAGACATTAATACAGAAACAAAAAAAAACTAGACTCAAGTGGTGTGCTGGTGACACAGTAAATAGTACACAAACAAAAATACCGAACTCCGAGGAAAATTCAAAACTGAAAGTCCCTAATCAAATGGCAAAATCAAAAACTCAAACACATCAAACGAATGGATAAAAACTTTCATATCCCTGACTTGGTACAGACATTTTCTGATGAAGAAAATGGTGGATTAAACCTGGTTTTGTAGCTATCTGAACCTCTCGCTTGTATGACAGTCGCATAAAGTTCCATTATATTGACAACAATGTGTGAACAAAACAAACAGACATAATAGGTAAAAATGTCAAAATAGGGTTTCAGCAGTCAATATTGTGTTATAATCTTAATCACTATAAAAACCAACAAATGTGTCAACAAAGAAAAACAAAAAGGCATATAGACAAAGCACATAAGCAAAAACGAAAGACAAGAATACAAAAATTTACCATAGCACAATAACACAATGACGGGATGTATAAGGACCGAGGCACGTCAAATGGATATTACCAAAAATAGACTAAACAGTAAAAGTAATAATTTATAGAGACAAATAAAAGAACACTATAACACGTGATAAAGATGATACCTAGAATATATACTCAAGACCATCGTGTATTATTTGATAAGTTTATACGGAATATTTATCAACAAGGTCTTGGTATCTTCCGATGAACTTTTTTAGAAAAAGGACGACACGTTCTTTGACACAACCATAGTTCATCAACTTTTTGCTCAGACACTGGTGACGTTTATAAAGTCTGAGTAACAGCTGCAATTGTCTCGTTTGTCATAGATTCTGGTACTTAGATGGCGACTTATGTCAAATTCAAGGTATAGACTAAAAGTGAGGCAGAGGAAGCCGTGTCTGTTGTTTCTTTAATTTCTAGTTCTGAAGGATATATTAATAGAACCCAATCAGAAAAGTTTGGATTGTTAATGGAAAGAACATCATCAATATATCTGAATGTGAAATTTAATGATCTGGCTTCTTTGTTCTTCTTGTTCTGACTCATACGAAAATAAGAAGAGGTCGTCAAGGAGAGGCGCACAGTTCGTTCCCATAGGAATGCCGACAATTTGTTGAAAAAGTCTACCTCCAAATTCAACAAATATGTTGTCAATAGGAAACTCAAGCATACTGATCACTTGTTCCTCTGTGTAGCATGTTTTACCTTTTTGTTGACTAAAAACAAAATATGCCGTATGGTATCCCAAAGTAATAAATTTATACCGTATGCTACCATTTTTATGTTGAAAAGCATTGTGAATTATTTCTTTTAGACCATTTTTCAATTTCACATGGGGAATGGTGGTATACAGGGTTGAAAAATCAAACGTTTTGATAGAACTAATTTCAGAGAAAGATCAAGTTTTAAAATTATCCAGAA